ACTAGTTCTCTCTAGTTACTTCAGTGCATTACAGTTACAAAAAGGTACATGGAAAGAGACAGCAAAACCAAGGAGAGAGGGGGAGAGTGGGGGGAGCAGTGGGGTGGGTTATGTCTATTTTTAGTTCTTTAACTTTTCAGGCCTATGTTGCGTTTCATATTCCATAGAAAATAGAAGTGTTTTAGAAGTTAAAAATATTTCTCCTACAAAACAGGACCAGGGATGGATGAGTTGTGCGTAGCATTATGGTGTAGGAAGCACAGGTTCCTGTAAGCAGTTTTTCAGCAAGCCTTAGTAGGTGTAATGTGACAAAAATATTTTTTATATCACTATGCGTTTACTTTCACCTTAGCTAGAGTTATCATACATCCAGGTTTTCCTGAACATGTCTTCTTTTTGGGTCCTCCCATCTCTATCCAGGAAGTTTTTTAAAAATATCAACAAGTGTCTGGGATTTTGCACTGCTCAGTATAGTTTTTCTCCAGCACTTCCTGGCTTGCCCTAGCAAGGAGCTGCTTGGGGCTGGGAGGGGGCTATTGGAGGCTGGGGGCTGTCACATGCACACAGGTGGCCAGCATGCAGCCAGGCAGGGTGGTGGGACCAGCCTCGGCAGCTGGATGCCAGTAAGTCTGTGGGGGTGGAGAGCCAGGGCTAGGGGACTGTCCAGGAGGGACTGATTCTCCCCCCCCAAAAAAAAAATTAACAGGCTGAGCCCCTTTGTTGCAGGAGTTTACCTTCTTGTTTCTCTTCAATATCAACCTACTTGCCACTTATAAACTTTAGGAAATGCCTTGGTGTAATACAAGCATAGATTACAAAAAGAAAGCCTGTATTAAATATGAGACTTCTTATGTGTCACACTGAACTAGCACATTGCTATTTGTACACATCTGAAAAAAATCACTATACAGTTTGCATGTACTATAGTTAAGGAAATGCCCATTGCACATACTGCTGCTCTAGGAAAACCAGTTTCTGGAGCTGACCTTATCTGCTGGTAGCAAGTAGGCATTGAGACAGCTATAAAACAGACAAAACCATAGTTGTTGAATACATTGAAATAAAGAACCATTTGTCGACTGACTTGACAGGCTGCGAGTTGGCCTGTACAAAAGCACACTGCTTCACTGTTTACTCGCCATGTACCCATTCTTTTTAAGTATGGCTTTCGTAAGAGGTATTCAACCCTAGCTCTAAACTTTTCCATAGAAATTTTGTCTGTTCAGATGCAATATTTCTGGCAACAGACAAAAAGTTTGCTGTGGTAACAGGAACAACACCACATTTCTAGATTGCATTGATTTTGTTTAGTTAAAAAAAAAAAAAAAAAAGCAGGAAGTCAAAGCATTCATTCACAGATCTGCACAAGGCACCCCTGAAACTTCCACATGAAGTTTACATAATTTTGCTACATTAAAACATGTTGAGATTAAGACAAAAAAGGTAGACCAATTAAAGCTTCTTATATGGATTATATGAGAAGGCAAAATTGAGGAACTATATGGCAAATTTAGGATATTCTATGCAAACCTGCTGAAAGTGCCAAGCTAGTTCTTGTAGGTACATCTCCTGTAAATTTGTCTTTGCTAGGAAGACATTTAAAAATAAAAGCCATTCCATATAATGTCATTTGTCTTGAATCATGAAGTGACCTGGATAGATAATATAACCATCTGACATTTCCCAGAACAGGTCTTATATAAACACAATCACAGGAAAGGAAAAAAAGTTGCTATTAACCTTAGCCGCAAGTACAGTATCAGAAAGTTCTGTTTTTTTTGTATACCTGCCTGTCCATGTTACATTTACAAACAAATTAGAGAAACAACTTACTATACTGCTAAACTTGTATGGTAATTAGGACCTTTCCTATATAATCGTATCTAGCTTAAATCTGAGGGAAAAAGATGGGTGCTACAAAAGAAGGGTAATAGCTGAGAAATTAAAATGTTGAAACAAGTATGATCTGAAGGACCTAAAATAGAATTTAAAATAGTCTTCACATAGAAAAGACTTAATTGTGAACAGGAACACCACCCTTCACCACTCAAAACAAACTGAAAGCCATACTTAAAACCCCTGAAGATGTGAACATATGTTGAAAGAAGTTCTCACGCCCCCTCTCCCACCTTAGAAGGAAGTATACTGCTAGGAAGTATACTGCTGGGTTCAGACAAATAGGTAAAGGTCAGGGTTGCAGACTATGTTAAAAATGGATGTTTTATATAACAAATGTAACCCCATACCATGCTGCCCCCCACCCCCGCAAACCTTACCCTCACCAGCCCCCACAGAGAAGGGCTACTGTCCATTTAGCTGCAACCCAGCAGTGGTACAAACAGGTAACTGGACACAGCAGTAGCACATGGCACAGGGTGAAGATGGGAGGGTGCATGGTGAAGGGAAGGGGGCAGGCTACAAAATTCTGAGGATAAAAGTACTGTACATGTGCTCAGACACCAGGTGGCACTACCCTGCTGTCTGTCAAATCAGCACCATCTCCAGGTGCTTCAAATCAAACTCCTGGCTGCCTTTTTTTATCCTTCCTTTTTAAAACAGACAGGCATTTTTACACGTGTGTGTGTGCGTGCACGTGCACTTTTTTTTTCTCCCCCCCCCCCCACAG